TATCGTGGACTGCGAGGCTGAAATTTAAAGAACATTAGATTGAATGTAAGAAAACTGATGAGATCAGTCAATTTTAATCCATTATGTAACTGTGTTCGTCTGAAAAAACATAATTCAAATTTGTTTATTAGGTTCTGCAAAATAGAATATATACTTTATGTTTGCATATCAAAAATAACTATTACTGATGAAAATTTGTTGGTGATATTACTTATGATAAGTTAGAGTAAGAGTAATAATTGTTAATGCAGCTATTTTGAATTTACAAAAACATCAAAGCTAGGGGGTTCACAGTTAATCCCATTATTATTATTATTATTATTTTTTTATTATTATTATTATTATTATTATTTATTATTATTATTATTATTATTATTATTATTATTATTATTATTATTAACATTATTATTATTATTATTATTGGAGGGGAAAGATGATGGATATTCTTCAAATATTCATTTTTTAAATTTATTGTGCTTAGTATGATCTTTAAAAATCCCAGTTGCACTCATTAGTTTTATGAAATATGTCTGTTATATTCTGATATGCCATTATTGATTGCAAAATCCAAAATATGAAGCATTTAATTTATCAGTTCATGCTACTACATCTTATTTACATGACTTGCAAATGGTGGATGCTTTAATCCTGTTTGTGCTGTGCATGACTTGGAGGTTCAGGATGTTTGTGTTCTGTCATTATCATCTTTTTTTTTTTCTTTTTTTTTCATGTCTAAACTTTTGTAGTTATAACCAGAGCATTTCGGTATGCTGTGACAAAATTGTCAAGCCTATTGAGGTGAGGGTTAAGGAAGTTGTCAGAACAAATTTCTCCCTTTTGTTTTGAAGCATCCATGAAAGCTGTCACAGAGCATAAACTGGGGGCTGGAAGGTGATGAATGTGTGAGATCCCTGAATTTGAATTTCTTGTGCGTTGTATGATGATTCATTGAGGATAGAAAAAATTAACATCGCCATTCATTCAAGTAGCATTCCTGTTAAAGGACAGTGTCACTTTCTTAACTATTCTTTCCTGGTACGCTGAATATGTGAACAGTCTCTTAGGTTATTTACCGCTGCATTGCTTAGTGGGATTCTTTCTTGGAGGAAACTGCTGCTATAGCCAAAGATATGTTTAGGGTCAGGCAGCTAGGGACATGCTACATATTGTTCTTTCTGCCTTGGTGCATTGAAGGGCTTGCTTAATTTGTAATAATTTTTCCCTGTATTCTTTTACTTTTTATGTCTATATTTTGCCTTTCTTTTTCTTTTTTTTCTTATTTTACTTTTTTTTTTGGTTGATACTTTCCTTATTAAATTTGTCCATATTGATAATTTTTAAAGTGTATAATGAAAGAATGAATATCTGTAATTGACTTCCCTGTATTGTAAGGTGATTTCAGGGTCACATGAAGGGATAGCATTGTGTCGCACAAATTGAGCTGTACTGGCTCATTACCAAACTGTTTAAAACTGAAAAATGTAAATATGTAATTGTTCTACATGTATCATGAACATCCTAAGCTACTTCCCAACAAGAATCACTTCTACATCCTCAAAAAAGGAAAACATGTACATTTTTTAAAAGTGACTGCATGCCGTTCTTGGAACTTTAAGCAGGAACTGATGGGAGAAGAAAGAAAAAAAAAAATTTGGCACAGGTGAGCTTCACTCCCAACTGTAAATAATCTTACAATATATATGATTTAATTTCAATGTAAAGCTTGGTTTAATGTGCTGCTCCAGCAAAATGTATGTGAATTATTTGCAATTAAGGTAACCGTAGTTCCTGTACTGGTTCTCTAGGTGAGTGATTGGTCGTTGAGTGTCAAATTAATAGTCTAAAATAAAAGAAGGTCCACCTTGCCAGTTCCTGACTTGTCCATAACTCATAAAAGGGCTGATCCATCCCCAAGCTCTCAGTAAGTGTGGGTGCTCTTTCTCTTCGGAGCATCCATTTCACGGGTACTAGGTATAGCTGAAAAAAAGAAAAAAAAAAAATATAGAACAAACTTTTAAAAAATACTGCTTTTCATATGCTTTCCTTTGTCTTGTATTACCTAATGCTAATATTGATAACCCTAATTAAAGATAAAAAAGTGTGAGTATATACACCCTGAAATTGTTTTAGGAAAATATTTTCTATACTCAGTCTGTCCTGATTAATTCCAGATACATAGGGTAAAAGAGGTGTAGTTATGTACTTGTTTCAAAGGTTAAAGTAGCTCATAGAACTAGACGTTAATGTTCTTAATTCAAGAACTTGTGAATAGGATACATGTGGCAGATTATTCCTAGGTTTGAATGCCATCTTTAAGTTGCATTTTACTTTGTGAATTTTTGCATTTCTGGCTTCAGGTGGATTATTTCCATTATTTTATTCCTTAATTGCATTTTTTAAATATCATTGCACAAGAATGCATCTGTGGAGTTGTTGAGATATTTTTTCTATTCCTTTTATATTGTGTGTTTTGTGTAGGATATAATATAGTACTGTTATTATAATTTTTATTAGATTTTTCTTTGCATATCTCATTTATGATTAGATAATTTTACTCTGTTCTGGGGATGGTGGATTCACTCATACCTGATTAATTAGTCTGTGGATATTTGTAATTCCTAGACCATGTCTCTTTATAATAAGTTAATGTTTTTTTGTTGTTCTTTTTTTGCCTGAACAGTATTGTGGTTTCCACTTTTTATTTATTTATTTTTTACCTGATGAATGCATTGATATCTTGTAATTTAAATATAAAACAAATGATACAAAAAACCTTTGTAATATGTACAGTATGTTGTCAACAGCATTCACACTCAAATAAAACATAAACACATCTAATGGCTGGCTGGTACAAAGAAATGCAAAGCTTACAAAAAGTTGTTTTTTTCAGAATTATCAGTTGTTATTGCAATCCTTTTTTAATTTTTAGACATTGGTCAAGTGAAAATTAGAATATTTACGGGCAAGTGGTACTTTTTTTCTGGTATGATCTGAACAACTCGTGCTACCAAACCAGAATACGCTATGGCTAGTCCGGCAATAGTCTTTATGCAGCTTTAGGTCTTCCCAAAATTAGCACAATAATGTTAAGTCTTGGCTGTCACTGAATGAATAAAACACTGAATGTGTAGGAGAGTGAAGCAGTGTGCGACTGTGTTCTGTAAGGTAAACAAAGGAAGGGTCAGTGTTTTAAATCACGATCCCTTCAATGAGACTTGTACCAAGTTGCAGAGTTCATTTCCTTTGTCATTCTATCATCCACATTTTGCGTGTTCATATATGTCAATAGAGACATCAGTAACAGTTACTGAAAGCTAATACATAATGCATTAGCATCATAACCTGTATAATCATTGTTAGTTTTAATATTTCTGATTAGAGTAGGGAAGTGTTTGAGATTATGCTTACACTAATAACTTGAAGACCAACAAACCTAATGCTGTTTGAAATGTTCTGAAATGGAACCTTAATTTGTGGCATAGTGGTCTTGCTTATATGCCAATGATGAGAAGCTGTTGAGAAGTATCAACCAGAAAAATGATGTCAATCCACAAATTTTTATGTATATTTTATAGGAAGATACAACAGCAGCTTTTATTGTTTGGCATAAGGGTCTCCTCCATCAGTCAAATTACATTTTTTTGATAAATTAAAAAAGTACAAAAATTTGGATACTTCCTTCTGTTTTTTTAAATGTTTGTCTTTTGGAGTGTTTTACACACCAGTAAGAAGGCTATTGCAAACTCATTTATAGGAAGTACCTGCAAGATTGTGGGAAATATAAGACATTCCTCAAAACAAACTAAACATTTTTTTTCATAGCATTAATTTGCCTGCCACGATTATAGGGTTGTACACCTGTCTCAGAGATATGAATCAGTCAGAAGAATAGGAGAAGAAAAAAATGACAAGCTCTCTGAAACTGGACCATCTATTACAACCTCAATCAGTAACATAACCAAATATGGGTACTACAATTGTTCCCTGAATTCTCGAGCTGTTACTCAAGTATGTCGTTGGTGTACTGATATTATGTTCAGTGTCTTGTGTAGCACAAGCTAGCCTCTACTGTGTTATATTTTAACTACTTGTGTAAATATTGCTTTTTTTATCTCATTGTATGACTATTTATGCTTTATACACTAACCATTTTCACTGTGTAGTCTGTTTCTACTGTACATGACAAAATACAAATTGTCTCTCGACCGAATAATTTTTTTCCTTATCCGACCAATTAGTGTTTAGTAATGACTCGATGTTTTATATGTCTGGTAATGTTAAGTATAGTTTTCTGTTCTTGATAATGCGAACGGAAATGACAGTCAAAATCTGAACTTTTACCCGAAGAATACAGGTAAAAAGGTAAGCCATGATTAGTACTGAAATGTGCTTGAATGAATGCAGATGGAATTTATATGGGCATAGGAATCGTGCATTGTGAAATGAACAGTTAATAAAATCTATAAACTTATAAACTTTCACATGTAATCCTTGAACAAAAATCTCAAAATGTTAACCTAGAACATACATGCAATAAATTTACAATTATTACTTCCTTTGTACAAGGATGCTTTTTAATCCATACACTGTAATGTGTATCTAAACTAACCCCCCCCCCCATCCCTTGTCCGTTGTCGGGGACCGAGACAATGCAGGGATCTGCCCTGTCTTGGGCCTCAGCCCTTGACAACCAATGTTGCATGGTCTTTTCCCCTCCAGCTTTTTGTTTCCGTCCCCTCACAGCTCTTTACTCAGGCAACACACTTCTCTTTCAACAATATCTTCAAAAGCAATTGGGCAGAGTTCCTTTCCGTACCCCACCCGATCGTCTCGTTATAGTTACATCTGAAACTGAAACTATAGCATTATCAAATCTACTGATCTCTGACAACCCATTCCTGCAAAACCTCATCCAACTCTTAATACTTGTACCGGAACTGTCTATCTCCCCTGCCTTATGGATACCGATTGGTCAGATTGTGGAGAACACTCGGCTGCTTCATAGACCGTGATGTGAGACAGTACAGTGCTACTCCATTCCTCCTGGAGGACATCGAAAGAAACCCACCAACATTGCAAAAATTACTTTCCGTACACATGACCTTCTCTTTCGTATCTACATTGGTGGTCAGTCCCTCCCTGGTCAACCATACCAACCTCCTCCCCGTCAATGTCAAAACTGTTGGCACTTTGAACATCCTCCCCCCAATCCCTTGCCCGTTGTTATCGTGGGGGGGGGGGGGGCTTAGAAGGCTGAGACCCAATGCAGGGATGCCCCCTGCCTAGGGCCTCAGCCCTCGACTCAACCAATTTTGCATGGTCTTTTCCCCCCAGCTTTGTATTTCCGTCCCTTCTCCAAGCCCTTCTACTATCTACTAAGGTGTAAGAGCCGTGCTGAAAGGATGAAAGGCTGACCTTGTGCCAGTCCTGAACGGCCTGCGGGAACCATGGGCACGATACTCCCCTGATTTAATTGTCTAGCCCTTACCCCTACGGGCACTGGGGGTGGACTGTTCATGTCCCTTTACATAATCAAGGCTTCCCATGACCAGTAATGAAAGTGTAATACCCCTATTAGGGGCAATGAGGCTTGCCCTTCATCAAATAGCCCCACCGGCTCCCTGACCCTAGGCTCTCCTTTGACCACGACTCCTAACACTGAAACTACTATCCACTCCTCTACTACTAGTGCATTACCCACCCAAGCAGAGACTCAATCTCCAGAAGACATTCTTACCCTCCCAACTTCTTCAAATTCATCACCTCTACCCCTACAACCTTCTTCATCAAACACCCCAACCTCCCTTATTACTACCTTACAGCCTTATTCTCTGTAATACAGCTATAGCATTATCAAAACTAACTGATCTCTCTGGCAACCCTAACCCTGCAGAACCTCATCCAACTCTTAATACTTGTACCGGAAATTGTCTCTATCTCCCCAGCAAACTGCCCAGTCGATATCAAAGATTGGTCAGATTGTGGAGAAGACTTGCTCGGCTGCCTCAAAGACCAGGACGTGATATCAGTACATTGCTATTCCAGTCCTCCTAGAGGTCATCGGAAGAAACCCAAACATTGCCAAAATTACTTTCAGTACACATGACCTTCCCATTCGTATCTACATTGGTGGACAATCCCTCCCTGTTCAACAATGTTAAAATCGTTGGCGATTTGGCCATCCTGCCAAACACTGCCGCTCCACAGACCGATGCCCCTCTGTGCCAACCCGGTCATAACAGATCAAACTCAAACATGCCCATAATGTATTTTATAGAGGCTGTCCCACTTACAAGTTCGCGTCTGAGGTAGCAGCTCTCAGACACAAAAATGGTCTCACTCTACGTGAAGCCAGACAGGAAGCACGTCGACAAGGTTTCTCTCATACTCCCAACTCCAGTAATGTCGCTCGCTCTGCCCCTCCCCCTACACCCCAAGATGTTCCTACCCCCTCCCCTGTACTTACTTACTTCCGCACTTCCACCAGTTCCACTTCTACATTCAACCTTCCCCAGTCAAATTCTTTTGCCACTCTAAATCCAGACACCCAATCTCCACCTACTCTACCTTTACTCATCAGACACCAGTCTCTCTTCCCCTCCTCATAAGAAAACCTTTGTCCACAAAACTCTCCAACCAACTCCACTGCAGAAACTATTGATGACATTCAAAGCTATATGCTTGAGACAAATTTCCATAACTCATGCTCCCTCCATACTTGAAGTGATTGCCGATATCCATACCCCTCCTACTCATATTCCCTACACCCCTTCTTCTTACTTCCTCTCAGCACAACCTAACCCCCTCAATTCGTCCACCACCGATATCCATCTCTCCGATACCCATCCTTGAAATCCATCCCCCTCTTACTCATAGCGCCCCTACACCCCTTCCTCCTAATCCCTCCCAAGACAACACATCCCCTTCAACTCCAACTATCCATCTTCCGATATCCATCCTCCTACCACTAATACTCCCTCCTAACACAACCACCCCTTCAACCCAACTATAGGCACATTCTCCCTCCCTCCATCCCTCTATCCTTTCCACTCCTCCCGGATACACACGGAATCACTCATGCTACAACAATGCCCTTCCCCAGATTCCCTACCTCCTGATACCCCTTTACACCCCTAGCTCCTTCTCCCCCAGATTCCCCAACACGTACCGACGCTTTCACTCATAAAATAAGTAAGATACAGCTCTCCTACACTGGAATATTCGCGGTTTCCGTTGTCACAGACCAGACATACATCATATCCTTGCTTCTTATAACAACCTGTTCTCCTTCCTCAGACGCATAAATATCCTTCACTTGATCCAATTCCCTTACCTAAGCCACCATAACCCTTTCCCTCATCAACCCCCTTACCCATCTTCAACTTTCCAACATTACTCTAGATGGTTGACGCATAGCAACTATCACCTGACATCACCCTTTACTATACCTTCCTAAGGTGCTATATGACCTAAGATGTCTTGCACATTTATTTAACTTTTAACCATTAACCATTAACCATTTGAACATCCTGTCAAACACTGCCGCTCCACTGATCGATGCCCCTTATGTGCCAACCCGGTCATAACCGATCAAACTGCTCTGCACAAACACGTACATGTGCTAACTGCGGCGGCCCCATAATGTATTTTATAGAGGCTGTCCCACTACAAGTTTGAGTCTGAGGTGGCAACTCTCGGACACAAACTTAAAGCGTTTTAAGCGCTGTACCGTTCCCTGCTTAAAACGCTTTCCAAGGCAGGCAGGCCCTCTTCAGTGATGCCAGACATGTGGAAATGTCTTTTTATAAAGTACAAATCATAACAGTCCTTGATGAGCATAGAAATATCAAAATAACACACAAAATATCTACTTGGGTTTTAAAAGCAATATTCCCACCAACAATCTCGGAAAGAGATAACTTATGCACAAGTCGAGGGTGGAGTTTATTTCACCTGCGGTTGGTAACAGTTTGAGCGCGCAATTCAAAACAACTGACAAGCTAGCGCCGCATCAAGATGGCAGAGAAGTAAATAAATCTACCCAAACATCTTAACAAAGCGCTATATTTTCTCCTATATTCATATAAAGTGCCTCTAAAACAATGACACACACCGATTGACAGCCCTTTCATTCTGACGCGTTATCAAAACAAATGAATATCCCTGAATTAAAATATAGGCCTACCCATTCCCATATATCCGATTTTATGAGGTTAAATATAACAAATCATCGAATATAATATCAACAGAAGAATGTTGCTAGAATTTCTCAGACTTTTTCACTTGAAATATTCTTTATTTCATAAAATAGCAGATATATTCTCGATTTAGAAAGACGAGAAGTTTAACAATAAGAGGAAAATTGTTCGTCTTATAATCATTTATTATTCATAAGTAAAACTTTTTTTCCCATAATCTCCATTATCTCCTTTCGTTTTCAGTTAATTTCAATTTCTTTGAATATGATTTTAAGAAAATTACAGAATCAGATACCGTGAAAAAATTATTTATCTGATAAGATATTAAGCGGAGTTCCTGGCCAACGCCCGCATTCGAAGGATCGTGACCAGTACGGTACGCGACCGACGCCGTTGCCATGGTGACGGTACACCGCTTGACTTAGCAAGCGCAAGTCAAGCCATCTACGGAGGTCGCTTGAGAAAGCAAGCGAAATGCTTGAGTTAGCAAGAAAAACGCTTGAGATTTCAGGCAAGAACTTTCCCTGCTTAAAACGCTTTAAGTCTCACTCTACTATGAAGCCAGACAGGAAGCACGTCGACAAGGTTTCTCTCAGACCAGTAATGTCGCTCGCTCTGCCCCTCCCCCCACCCCAAGATGTTCCTACCCCCTCCCCTGTACTTACTTACTTCCCACTTCCACTTCTACCTCTTACCTTCCCCAGTCAATTCTTTTGCCACTCTAAATCCAGACACTCCAATCTCAACTACAGTCCCACACCGTCTCCTCTCCCTCCCCGCACTACCTGCAGCAGGCAGACTAAACGTTCCACCCCTTCTTCTACCACACACCTCCACCTACCTTTGTCTTTACTCATCAGACACCAGTCTCCTCTTCCCTCCTCATAAGAAAACCTTTGTCTCACAAACTCTCCGCAGCCAAATCCACTGCAGAAACTATGGAAGACATTCAAAAGCTATATGCTTGAGACACAAAATTCCATGACTCATACTCCTCTTCATTTCTCCAATATTTTCCACTTTATCTCATCCTTTAAAATCGGCTTCATTTTTAACTCCCTCCTTTGTTATTACTACTCTCCATTGTTATTGCCCGTCTCCCTGCAGTATTACATCTCACTCAACACCACTTCTTCCTGTCCTTCTACTTTGACCTCTACAAACTTTTGAGTACCCTTTTCCCAGCCAAATGGGCCTTATTTTGTGACCCTTCAACACTGACAAATCTGTTCCTGCCCAGCTCACCCTCCCGTAATACTTGTACCGGAACGGTCTATATCTCCTCGGCTGATTGCCCTGTCTACGACGAGGATTGTGAAAACTACCTGCTTGCTTGCTTGGTTGACCATGAAGCAGCGCTACACCAATCCCCACGGAGGCTGCTCCAAGTCCACCAGTACTGCCAAGATTACCTTCCGTAGACATGGTTTAGATATTGGCGGAGAGTCCTACCTTGCCTGACCATACCGATCCTTCCCCCTTCAGTGTCAGAAATGTTGGCGTTTTGGCCACCCTGCTATGCGCTATCACTCCACAGCCTGCTGCCCTTCTACGTGTTCAACCTAGGCATGATCGTTCAAAGTTCTTTTGCCGCAGTCACAGACATGTGGTGGCTCTCATAATATACTTTTTAATAGCAATCCTCATATTCAAACTTGGCCTCACTTTACGCGAAGACAGACAAGAAACACGCCGTCGAATTTTTTTCTTGCTCTAGTGCTGTCCGCAACGCCCCTCCCCTTCCTCCCCAGATGTTCCTACATCTCAGGATTTCTTCCTCCTGCATCGAAGTTCCCATTTCTATCCCTTCTATTTCCTAATCAAATTCTTTGGCCATTTTGATTGCAGACACTGTAATCTCTACCACTTCCTCCCTCCTCCTCGCTCTACTCATCACATTAGACAATCTAAATGGCCTATCCCATCTTCTACCACATCTCTCTTACACATACCTCTCACACTGCTTTCCAGACGTCTGTCCCCTCTGAGACCTCCCCACGCAATGCGCGTTCAGAAACTCGCGGTCATTCAAAATTTGAATTAACGAATCTATCGATCATCCTCCCTCCAATCTCTCTGCTCCCATTCCATCTACACTTAAGTGACTGCCGATACCCAACTTCCTCCTTCTCCCTTCCCCTACACCCTTCCAACACCCCATCTCCATCTGCACAAACCCCATTTCTTCCCCGTTCTTCCTGGACAGACCCGTAACTCCCTCTTGTCACAACAGTTCCCTTCCCCTGGTCCTTCCCCTCCTGATACTTCCCCTTGATCCTTTGTCCCATTCCCAAATTCCTTCGTTTCCTACTTCTCCGACACCCATTTTCACCTTAATAGCTCTTCCGCACTGAAATATTCACGGTTTCCGTTCTCATAGACCTGCATCCTCCATTTCTGTGATCGCCCTTAACCCCTGTCCATTTTGCTAATCCCTGACCTCCCTCATTTATTCACCCGCTTTACCCTCACATTTCTATACCCTTCTCAATACCACAATATCCTTGAGTGTTGTACGATTTTCAACGATTAGTTCATTTAATCATTAATTCTTTAATACCCATTTTTACGCATCTCGCTGCCATAGCTTCTTGTACCTCGACATGGCCTTTGATGTTTAGCACGTTATTTGTGTTTTAACCACTGTTATTATTATTCACCGATGAAGTGCATTTAATGATGTCTGGCGAATCAATCGTTTCGTTCGCATTTTTAAAGACAGTGATTAATGTCCTAAAAGGGTTTCTTCTTAAAGCAATTTTTCCTCGGCAGGAAAGTGGATTTTTAGAATTTCTTTCAATTCGTTGCTAGCAAGTCACCACAAGCAACACCGACCAAAAACAGCGTTACCCCTCCACATGGAAAAAAATGTAACCTCATCATCATAGCAAACATACCGCATGCAAGACTAATCCCAACCCCTTTGCTGTTGCATCAGTTCAAACACGTTTCCAACGAGAGGGCTTTCACCTGCCATAAGCCAAACATTACGTCACGAATTACATATTACTTTTTGTTCTACTCCTACTTCTTTCTTTTTCTAAAATATAAACACTGGACATTTATGTTTTTCTTCGGCACATTGCATTTCCTCTTAATCGTAGTGGCTACCATCAACAATTTGTAAGTAGAACCGAAGGAAGAACAAGAAAACACACATTGTTATACTTTCAATTTGTTCAGCATGAATCCCGCTCCATCAGCAATGCGTTGTGCCTCATTTATGAAGGCCTTGGACTCGTCGTGGCAGTCCACGTCGCAGCCTTCCATATGGTCCCGTCTACTAAAACACCCACGCACCCACGCACACACACACACACACACACACACACACACACACACACACACACACACACACACACACACACACACACACACACACACATACATATATATATATATATATATATATATATATATATATATATATATGGATATATGCATGGATAGACATAAAGATGACGGTACATATAAACAACCATGTGAAAACAGAAGCGCACGCCATCTGTCTGTCAGCGACCGAAACCACTGTCGACAATCTGATTCAGATCATATGAAAAAACTCATTGATAATGCGGATTAACATATCAGTTTATCACTTCACACCTTCCTGAGGCTCGCGACGTCAGTATTCCATCTCGGTCCTCCTTCAGCACAGCTTTTCCGGCCCGATCGTAGCAGAGACATTTAAAAAAGGTATGGGATAGGGACCTGGTGCATACTCCACAATACTTGCTATCTGCTCTGTCTCTATAGAAGTGGAATTCGAACCTCATATCGGATTGTGCCTGTGAAGCCACTTTTCTCGGCGTGCGTACCAGTGAGTCAGAGAACAGAGAAGCGTGAGGATGGAATCGCATTTCACTGATGGGCGGCAGACACCCGCGGGGCAGCGGCCTCAACCTCTCAGGGTCACGATGGCCCTTAAGAATCCGATGAAAATTGTGGATCCCCTTTCCAGGAAGCTTGCCAATAGAGACAACTTTGCGTGTAATGAGTATGATGTACTTTATTTGAGAGCTGATTATATCATACATATATGAGATAGACAGTATTATTAAACTTTAAAAAAAACAGTGTAGAGAGAACATCTTCCTTTTAAGTCAAAACGTAATGTTAAAACATCTGATTCTCACGCACGCCCTGAAACTCACTCATGGACCCCAAGTTAATAATCTCTTCACTAGGGGGTTGTAGTGGGTAAAGTCCCTTGCTTTTGACTATACGTTATCTCAGGTCATCTCAGTGATTACGTCATTATCAATACTTTTATTGTTATTATTATTATTATTGCCATTATTA